AAGAAAAAAACTTGTATAATATTAAAGGTGCAGTAGAAATTTTCCTACCATTTAATATAAAAATAAACGAAAATGATAAATCCGGAACATTCGGATTTTAAGCATGACAATTCGATGTTTTTCATGGCAACTTTAGTTCAGCGATGTTTCAAACATGGCAATTTTTTGACAAAAAACTAACTGGGACAAAGTTGTCATGTTTTAACAACTAAATTTGCCACCTCGCGTCAACTAAAGTTGCCATGAAAAACATTCGGGATGACACGCTTAAAATTTGAGTGTTCGGGATTTATCAGGGTCCAAAATAAAAGCCACTGGTTTAGTGGGCCCTCCATTTAGTGCTACACTAGCTAAATGATCGTACGTTGCCACATGACAATGAAAACAAATACTTTGATCAAAATGATTGTTGTAGTTCCTAAGAAAATAATATGAAATGTATCTGGCAGCTAGGGGCAGATCATTGCCCCATCATGCTCGAGGCTATGGGTTCAAGAGAGTAAGCGCCGAATAGAAGAGTAGCATCTCACTCGCAAAAGACAAAATAAGAATATGACATCATGTGGTATTCATTCATATGGTGAGAATCATCGGCGGCACATATATTGTAGTGATTCAACACTAATAATGTCTAACATATAAGTTTGTGATCCTTATGCACATCTATGACATTGCCAGCCTTTTTCTATCGAAAGATCAACTTTCTTCTTCCTCTTCTCTTTCGTTCACCCACTATCTCTACCTCTGCGCCATACAGTTCAAAGCTTGCCACCTCTATCAATAGCGCATCCGGCTCACAATCTCCTCTTCTCTTTCCCTCCCTCCCTACCCCTCCCAAGTTTATATAGCTTGTTCTTCAAAGGGACTGTCTAGGGTACATCTAATTTTCCCTAGTTATTGTACATTCGTTAGGGCATGTACAATGGTGCTATCTTAGGAGTGCCACGTAGGATAGATGATGAGGTGGAGGAGAGAAAACTCATAAAAAAAGGCTTGTCTTCTCTTATTTAAGAGAACACAAGAGGTGATCTCTTAGCACAATATGTCTCACCAAATTTTTAGGAATTGCTAGTTATTGAAGATAGGGCCATTTGCATTTCTGTCCCTAACTCGAACCACCTAATCAGATATACCCCTAATTCGAAAGCCTGCTCAAAAATGCCCCTCCGTCGTTATGTGCACTTATAGAAATGCCCTTCCGCTCCGTTACCGTTCGGTCAAAGGCCTTTGACCGTCAACGGGACGTTTTCTGAACATTTCTACCCCTCCCTCCATGTGTCACTTATGCGTGGGACCCACTCAAAGAAAAATAAAAAGAAAAAGCTCTCTCTATTGTCTCACTTACACGTGGGACCGATTTTTTTATCAATTTCACATGGTGCCCACATGTCATTGTTTTATTGTTTTTTGAAATGGTACTCACTTATTTATTTTAGGAGCGGGCCCACCTCTCATCTACACGACGGAGCTTGAACTCCGGCGAGCACGAGCGCTTCAGGGTTTGCTCGGGACTGCGCGGGAGCACGCTAGGGCGAGCTGTGAACGGTCCTGGAGCAAGGCGGGGTCACGGGGTGGTCCGCAAGGGCACTGGGAGTTTGTAGAGCAGACGGGAAGCTCGCCGGCGATGAGGTCCCGTGGCAACGGCGGAAGGCGCTAGGCACGGGCAAGCTACAGAGGGGGAGGGGACTAAAGAACGTGAGCAAACACATAAATGGCTCACTTATTTGATGAAGGCATGATCCAGGAGGCTTGGGATTCACCAGAGCGACGACCTCGTCGTCCACAGTGGACGGCGGAGCGAGGTGACGCTGACACGGCGGCTCGGGAATGAAGGGCTCCGCAGCGAGGGGTCCATAGGGTCTAGAAGCACCAGATGTCGATGAGGCAACCAAGATAGAGCATAGGGGCGGTGTAGCAGAGGAGATCGAGGCGCGGCAAAGCATCACCGGAGGGGGAGAAGATGACATCAACCACACTGATTTGAGGTGTTATACTTCAATTAATTCGGTGTGGAAGTCGAGGACGAACAGGCGGATCCCTTGGACAAGGCTACGGGTCCTGGGGTTCCCGTTGGGCGCCTGCATGACGAACAGCATCGGGGCGGACAACCATGATTCCCGCGGACCACGTCTTTGTCGCTTGGCAGAGAGAAAAGAGGGTGCGCGAGTGGGGGGGGGAGGGGAGGGGGGCATGGACCGGATCGAGGAGGTCATAAGGGGTCGGAGCCGTGCAGCACCTCACCCCGGCGAGGCTGCTGCTAGTTGCGTGCGCCCCCGCCGGAGTTGAGAGAGAGACAGGAAAGATTTTTTTAGGGTGGGTCCTACATGTAGGTGAGACAGGCAGAGAGAGGAGAGATATTCCTTTTATTTTTATTTTTGTTTGAGTGGGTCTCACACGTAAGTGACACATGGAGGGAGGGCTAGAAATGTCCAGAAAACGTCCCGTTGACGGTCAAAGGCCTTTGACCGGACAGTAACAGAGCGGAAGGGCATTTCTATAAGGGCACATAACGGCGGAGGGGCATTTTTGCGCAGGCTTTTGAATTAGGGGTATATCTGATTAGGTGGTTCGAGTTAGGGACACAGGTATAAAAGACCCTTGAACATAAGGCTACGAGATGACCCATTGTAGACAATTCTTTTTTGTCATCTCTAAATCACATGCAAGTCGTAAGATAAGACTATCTTATCAATCATTGTACATGCCCTAACGAAATTTGTAACGACGGTATCGTAAAACGCGATTTCCTAAAGCAAATTGGCCAGTGATCCTAGCGAGATTTCATATCTAACCACCACGCCACCAACCCTACCATCATATCGTGCTGCTGGAAGACTTCCTTCCTGGGAGGCAGATTGGATTCTCACCGGCCGGCCGGAACCTTAAACTCTCCTTGAGAGTTGAGACGTCAATGGCTTTGAGCCGGTACGGCCGGGACTTGACGGCGGCGGCTGGCAAGAGCGACCCGGTGATCGGTCACGATGCCGAGATAGATCGCGTCGTCTGCATCCTCTGCCGCCGGGAACAACGTCGTGCTCGTCGGCCCTCCGGGCGTCGGCAAGACGGCCATCGCAGAGGGCTTCGCCCACCACATTGCCGCGGGGACTGTCCCAGCGGATTTGCACGGGGCACACGTCATCGAGATCGACATCGCGGCAATGCTGGCTGGTACATCATACCGCGGCGCATTAGAGGAGCGCTTCAAGGACGTCCTCAAGGCGGCCGAAAAGGCCAACGACAAGGTGATCTTGTTCATCGACGAGATGCACACGTGTATCGGCGCCGGCCGGTTCAGCGGCAGCAGCATGGACGCAGCCAACATGCTGAAGCCGGCGTTGGCTCGTGGCCGTATCCGTTGCATCGGCGCGACGACATTCGACGAGCACCGCAAGTACATTGAGAAGGATGCCGCGTTCGAGAGACGGTTCCAGATGGTGCAGGTGGAAGAGCCGGGCACGCAGGCGACCGTTGCTATTCTACGAGGTCTAAGAGCGCGCTACCAAAAGCACCACGGCTTAAAGATTCAACGTGCCGCTCTTGTTGCTGCCGTCGAGCTTGCTGACCGCTATATCACCGGTGAGGAATTTCACTCTTTTTATATGTATACCACACCTTTTTCCCAGGTATAACTGGATGTAAAGTTAACGGGCAAGAAATAGCCATATGGACAGTAGAGTGCCTATGTTCAAATAATTTGGATACTATACCTTTTCACATTGAATGGGTGTGTCTATACATATGAACTCACGTGTAGCTTTGTACTCAATGTGATTGTATTTTTGCCTCCATTTGATTTTTGAGTCATCAAAATTATGTCTACCAATTTTTGTAGTTTTATGTGTGTGTGCGCGCACGCGTGCGTGCGTGTGTGTGTGTGGAGAAATTGCAACTTTCATATTTTGCGTAGGAAAAAAAATTGTTTGTTGGAGAAAAGTTATGATTCTTGTTGCTATTTGTAGGTCGTCAATTTCCTGATAAGGCAATTGAACATATAAAGGACGCTATGCAACCCGCCATTCTGGAGGCCTTTCCGCGCGCACGATTGCTGGCCATTCGATCAGCTTCTTCGATCGTTTTTGACCCTTGATTTTTACTATTTACTTTTATATTTGGTTACAACTTTGACTGCTTTACTGGGTGGCTGCCATTGGGCCCATAAAATCATTGGTCCATGTGGCAGCGGAGTGCTCGTCGACTTGGTCCGTGACCAATGACGAAGCCGGTAAAAGAACCCTAGATCGACCAGTCAAAACAGATCACGCCCTCCTCGTTCCTTCCACTCCCTCGACACCACCTCCTCCCCCGTCCGGTGGCGGCTCCTCCTCGCTCCCCTTTCCGGCAGCGCCTCCTCCTTCCTCCCCACGGTCTCTCGCATCGCGCCGCCACCAGCTGTCTGCACCACATCCTCAGCTATCCAGCCCGCTTCCACAATGGATAAGGGAAGCACGGGCTGCTGCTCCGCTGCCGCTGCCACCGCCTCTTCCTCTACCTCAGCTCAACATGAGGATCTTGGGCCGCGGCTGCACTGCACGAGGGGGCGCCACCAATATGCCTTGTGTCTCTGCGAGCCAACGGAGCAACCATGGATTCACTGCGGCATCGACACCCATCTCAAGGTGTGGAAATCGTTCTTACCCTCCTCCTGCCCCCAGCCTTGAACAGCATCTCTGTAAATCCAACCCTGATCTGCAACACCTTTTTTGGGAGGTTGCAGGTGTGCGCGGCATATGTTTGCGTAAATGCCCGAGTTGGAAAGATTTCTTTCTGTGTACATCTTCTTTTGTTTGATCTGTGTGATCTATTGTCTTCTTTTACCTTGCTTCAACTTAAGCCCTGAACATGCGCATAGTCTTTCAAAAAAAAAAAAAACTGGCTGTAGTAACATCTATTTACATAAAAACTGGATCACTTGTAAGACTTAATAGTAATATTGATCACTATTTTAAAGGCTAGCGACAGATTCAACATAAACTTTCAACTTGAGCATCTTTCCTGACCTATATATATGATAAGGAGGTACTCCCCCCATAAAGAAATATAAGAGCGCTTAGATCACTAAACTAAGAGCAGTTTAGTGATCTAAACACTCTTATATTTCTTATGATGGGCGGAAGAGAAATAAAATGCCAATGACAGAGATAAGAAAGCCAACCGTCGTGGGCCAGTAGGGTAAAATAAACAAGTGCATTGAAGGTAGGCCATGCATGCTCAATTTTTCTTCTCTGTATTTTTTCTTGTTTATACCTGTAGAAAAAATTGTGGTGGTGATGGTACGGAAATAGGGCTTTACTTCTAGAGATGTGGGTAGTGGTCTGCACTCTCATGTTTCATAATTTCCCCCCTTGGACATTCTCACCGATGGTTGTAGATGCTATTTGCCCGGTGAATTAGTTCGCATATGTCGTAAAGGATGATTCTATAATGTTTATTCGGATTAAACATTACCTGTAACAAGATGCATTTTCTCCCATGCTTTTTTGCTGCAGGACCTTATTCCTTGCACTCTTGACTCTTTTGAGAAGGAGAAATTTATTGTTGGGAGGCAAAACGACTGATGATGAGTTCCTGAAACATGTAGCATGAGGTATTTCTATCCTTATTTATTTTGCTATAGGACCTTGTTGGTTGCCTTCTTGGGTTCTTCGACAAGGAGCAATTGCACAATTTGATTATGGTTTCTACTATTGATTATACTTTGCAAGCAGTTCTGTGAAGCCAGTGTGTCATGTACTTAGAACATCTATTGATCTACAGTGCGTCAACCGACATCGGAGAAATCAGGTTCATAGATGGCTGCTTTATGCCGGGGTGAACGAGCTTCTGTTAGGCCGTCGATTTCCCAATGAAGGAGCTTCGAGGCAAGCACTGCAATGATGTAGTTTTGTATATGGCATAACCTGTAGGAACCCTTTCCTTGTTTCTTTTTCTTCTTGGTTTCGCTCCTGTTGATTAATGCCAATTATTCTAGCTATTTTCGTTGTACCTAGGTGCCTGTGAGATATTTACAGACAGAATTCGTGCCGATTTATTCAGTTGTGGCACGTATCGCAGCTACATCAGTTTGGTAATTAGTCCTCAAATAAGGTCGTTTTCCTCTCCCCTTTACATATCATGGATATATGTCGTGGTTGCTTGCCATTGCTGAAGCGAGGACTCTAAATGTATTTTTGTGTTCTCCCTTATTATGTTAATCGGGCTGTATCTGTTCTGTTAGTCTATTTTCATTTGTCTACTTTTATAGAATTTCAAAGATGTAATTTTCTCTCATGTAGTTGCCTCATTCTTCATGTATATACTAACCCTCTCCTAAATGATAGATGAGGCAGGTGACTTATCTATGTTAACTTCCTTTCTGTAAATTAGACCAATAGTCTATTTTAGTCAACTTAAGGGTATGTTGAATATCACAGTTAATGAAGATGGTCATTCTTGATGTTGAAAGTACACAATCTGGCACATTTTAAAGTAGTACCTTATCTTTATGACAAGACTAAGCTGCTACTTTAGCAAGTGTTTTACTTCAACACAGATTGCACCCTTATAATTTGGCTCTGCTGAATACACTATATTTACTTAAATTATCTTTTGAGTTAGCAAATAATGATCAGCTAACGATGTTTTAGCCGATGATTCAGGACAATATCTGCCAGTTAATTGAGCAGTGTGGTGGGAAGCTCCGCAAAACACCCTTTCGAAACAAAACTTATTTTTCATCATTGTGAAGATTGATTTTACATATTTCACTTAAATGGTGACCCCCCCGCGCTCCCATTTTTTGCTTATGATTCTCATTTAAATGGTGATCGCTCAGATTCTGAATATCGGCTCTTAAGTACCATTTTATTATTTTAAGAAAATAGGAGTGATGTGATTTTGTTCTCTAGAGACTGGAATTAAATAGTAGGTCCTTTTGGTACTGTCCTATTACCATTTGTGGCTAACGGATGTAGCAGTTCGACTAGGCATTATCGTGTATTGTACTGTAGTGATCCTTTTTGCATAGACTAAATACCTACTTTTGCTGAATGTTGTTGAACGTAATATTGGTCACGCCTTAGTGTCGTACGTGACAGGTTCAGATAACTATCGCTAGGAGGATTCCAACCGAAGATAGGCTAGGATCTTAGCTCATATGGGTTTATCTTTGTAACCTCCTTTATCTCTTCTTCTCCAAGTTGTAATCTGAACCAACTTTGTACGCTATACCAGGAGGTCGCGACCTGGCTATATAAACACGCAACCGTCGCCCAGGATGGGCACGACGTTCCTCCACACGGTATACAGAGCCTAACTCTTCCCATCTAGCTTTCCTCCTCTCCATCGTAGCTTCCTGCCATGGCCTCGTCTGCCGCCACCTCCTTCCCCCTCTCCGGCCAGATCACCGAGCGCCTCACCCGCACCAACTACGTCCTATGGCGCACCCAGATCATGCCGCAGCTGAGAGGAGCTGGAGTCTTCGGGTACGTTGATGGAAGCATGGCGAAGCCGGCCGAGTTCGTCGTCAGCAAGGACAAGGATGGAAAGGAGGCAACCATCCCAAATCCACTTCACGTCGTCTGGTTCCGAGAGGATCAGCAGATACTCGATTATCTTCTGAATAACCTGTCCAAAGAGGTGCTAGTGCAGGTCACCTCCATCGCGCATGCACGCGAGCTCTGGACAGCGCTGGCGAGCATGTTCTCGTCAACGTCGCTGTCCCGCATCAACAACATCCGCGCCGCCCTCACCAATGTGTAGAAAGGAACGCAATCGGTGACCACCTTCTTCGTGCACATGCGGGGGCTTGCTGATGAGCTCGCCGCGGCTGGCAAGCCGTTGCAGGATGGTGAGTTAATCTCGTACATCCTCAACGCACTTGACATGGAGTACCAGCCGTTGATGTCCGCCCTCGATGCCCGCACTACCCCGGTCACCCTCGACGAGCTGTTCAGGCAAATGAGCAACTTCGACCAGCGGGTGGCTCTCTTCCAGGGAGCTGGCGTGGGAGGTGGCTTCAAGTCATCGGCCAACGTCGCCACTCGCGGCCGAGGCGGAGGCTCTCGCTACCGCGGGCCGCCTCGGAACGGCAAGGGCAAGGGCGCTGGCAACGGCAACAGCAGCGGCGCCAACAACACACGCGGCGGCCGGCCTTCCTTCACCAACAACCGAGGCCGGCGCAGCAACTCCTCCAACAACAGATCACGCCCTGATGCAATCAGGTGCCAAATCTGTGGCAAGCCGGGACACTCGGCAAAGGATTGCTGGTATCGTTCTGAGAGGATGAAGATGACTCCTCCCAGGACGAGAAGGTGGTCGGAGTCGCTGATGGCTCCTACGGCGTCGACACCAACTGGTACGTCGACAACGGTGCCACAAACCACATCACCGGTGAGTTGGAAAAGGTGACCATGCGCGACAAGTACCGTGGCAAAGATCACATCCACACAGCAAGTGGAGAAGGTATGGAAATTAGTCACATTGGTCACTCAATCATTAAAACCCCTCATCGAAAAATTCACATTAGAAAAATTTTGCATCTTCCTAGTGCTTCAAAAAGTCTTCTTTCCGTTCATCGCATTGCCATTGACAACCATGTCTTCCTTGAGTTTCACCCTTATTTCTTTTTGATCAAGGATCAGGCAACGAAGAAGGTTCTATATCGAGGTCGATGCGTTCGTGGGCTTTACCCCTTGATTCCGGAGAATAGAAGATTCAATAAACAAGTTTTCAGTGCCACCAAAGTGTCTTCAACACAATGGCACGATCGTTTAGGGCATGCATCTTTTTCTTTAGTTGAACGATTGTTTAGGAAAAAATAAGCTCCCTTATGTTGGAGAGCGTGATGTCGAAACAGTTTGTGATTCTTGTCAAAAGGCTAAAAGCCATCAATTACCTTATCCAATTTCTACCAGCATTTCCACCAAGCCTTTACAACTTGTGTTTTCTGATGTGTGGGGTCCTGCCCCTCCTCTGTTGGTAGGCACACGTAATATGTGAGTTTCATAGATGACTATAGCAAGTTTTCATGGATCTATCTTCTTAAGAAAAGGTCCGATGTGTTTCAAGTATTTCTGAACTTCCAAGCTCTCGTTGAGCGCCAATTTGATT